TCCTCAGTGGAAAAAGCAGGCATGAGCCTCATTTGTGAAAGCCTTGGGCAAAAATAGGTGAAAATGGATTGTTCTGGCGATGAATCCATCCAGCAGAACCAACACAGGAGACACAACAGTAACCAAAATAATTGAGCTGGTGGATTATAATGAAACCCACCGTACTTTCCACTAGAGTATTACAGACAAATGCATCAGAAAAACCATCTCCAGCCTCTTCTCCCTTCTAACTCAGGCCATAGAGGTTTCTATATCAGTTTCAAGCCCATGTTGGCCAAGACACTGAAGCCAGGGCTTCCTCAGTGACAGAACTGAGCCCCCAGTGACTCTGAGCCAGGGAGTCAGTGGACTCCCCCTCACCTCCAGCAGGTCCTGCACTCCCTCCTCATGCTGCTGCTCATTTCAGGGGTAGCACCTCTGCATGGACTGTTTGGGAAGCCTTGGAAGCAGTGGGACAGATCACAACATTATTCCTGCAAGATAGGGTTTGATGGGAAAGTAATTAGTTTCTCCTGACAAAGTCTGCTCTTCCTGGCCAGAAACCCTGCTGGGAAGTTTGGGTTTAGCAAAGCAGAAGTCAGGAGTGGAGAGAGGTTAAAGAAAAGCTAAAGAGCTCTGGGAAACTGGGTGAGGTTTAGACATCTGCCAACATTCTGGCAAGGTATCCCCACAGAAAGGAATTACATTCACTTAAACTTTCAAAGAATGAAGGAACAAGACTGGACAAACGGTTTTCCCTATCAAAAGTTTTACCTGAATATTTCTGTCTTTTATTTAGCTTTTGATGGGGTCTACTATGCCATTTTCTGTTAGGATGAGATCTTATTTTCTAAATTAATCTGCTGCATTAGTAATCTCTGTAATTGTAATTGTAATGTTTACAATAAGGTGTGGAGCTTCCTAAAATTTTGGGGTAAGCAATTGGAACTGTTCACCTAAAATCTTACAATGTAAGGATCTAAAAAAAAAAAAAAAAATTCAGCATAGCAAAATTCAATTTTGTTTACAGAAAACAGTATCTAAATATTGACCCAGTGACTAAATTCATGGCAGGTGTTGGTGGTTTAATTGCAGATGAGTTTCAGAGTTGGTTGGGTCACATCACACTGAGATTTGGAACCAGTGATGCTCCATTGCAGACACACACACAGAGTGCAATAGGACACAGGCAGCAGTACCACCTTAGAGTACAGAGCAGATTTTAGGCTACTCCATCCATAAAAGCATTAGAAAAAGGACTTCCAAATGAGGGATGATTCAAGAATTTAAATATAGTGGGAAATGCTGGCTGAAATAGTCGCTTTGGAAATTATGGATATTGCAGCTTGGCATTGCTTTGCAGATGTTGCATGTAGAAAATGGTAATATCCCTCCAGCACAGTAGCTGTAAATCCAGAAGCCACAAAGGCATTTAACAACTTTTTGTAAATGTCACAGGTTCCTAATTCAATGCTTTGGCATTTTTCTAAAAAATTGTTAAGGGGGAATCATCACATGGCATAGAAACAAACTCCCCTGTTTGTGCTAATGAAACAACCCACAGGCCTAAACCTGCCTTAAAACTATGAAAAGGAGCACAGCACTAAGAAAGGTGACATATTCTGACATCACAAACAACAGCATAAACCCATTGTCACCTCTTAGAAAAAGGGGGATTATTTGGGACTGACCAAATCATGAGACTGAGGACAGAATCTGGATCCTTCGCAGCATTCACTGAGTCATGGAATGGTTTGGGTTGGAAGGGAGCTTTGAAGATCAGCTTGTCCATTGTGCTGGAAGCTGTGGTTCCGCTGCACTGCAGGACCTGCAGGTGAAATGTGCAGCAGGGAGGATTGTCCTGGCTATGGAGGCTCAGTTGTCACACTGGGTGACAGCACATCCTGCCAGTAAAGGACCTCTGGGTGGGACCCTGACTTTCTCTTCTTCAGAAAACAGACAGACATGTTCACAACGATGCTTCAGCACCTTCAACCCTCCCACTGACTCACTGGGGACTTACTGCCTGAGTACTTTGGTGGCTGTGGGTAGAAACCACAGATCCAGCACCCAGAGCTGTGCCTGAGTGCCTTTGCTCCTGCCTTTCCAGTCTGTGGTAATCCCTACTCTGAGCTGAGACTAATCAGGTTCTTTTAACTTAGGACCCCCCCAAGCTATCCTCGTTCTGTTGGATGGATTACCCTGTTGTGACAGGTCTCGACCTGCTGCTCGACTCAGTTCTCTTGCTAACCCATTTTATATTCCTGGCACTTCAAAACAGACATTAGTTATGTATGCATGCAAGCCAACCCCAATGTACTCAGAAATGCAACACAAAATCCCCTGGTAGTTTGAAAATACACACTACAGTCACTCAAACAGGAGGAAATGCAAATGCCACACTCAGACACATTGGCATATTCCCATTTAGTCCATACAAGTATCCCAAAAGCAGGACTGCACACCCCAAAAGTCATGTTTAAGAGGACATAAGTTTGAAAAATAACAATAAATTGTAATAATTGCCTCTCAGGTGGGCTGAATTACTCCTTGAGGAACTAGCCTTCCTCCCTTGTCTGTGAAGGAAATACTTTTAACTTGAGCTTTTTAGTTTCAAATCAATCCAAGCTGTGATTCCAACATCCTGGCCACACAGAGACTCTCTAAATCCCAAAATCTAAAACCCAGAACATGAGAACAGACAAAACTGAAATGATCTGGGTGCACAAAGGGTTGAGCTTCTGTAAGAGACAAACCTGACCCACATCGTGCCTTTCAGTAGAAGTGAAGACCAAGGCTTCTAGAAGCCAAAACCTCTCCTGAAAGGAGGAGCAGCAAACAGGTGGAGGTACATCCTTCACTAGTGGGTTACAGGTTGTGGTGACACGGCCCCACAAAGCACCTGTTGTCCCCTCAGCAGGGATGGAAGCTGCTCCTTGCTGAGGAAAACAAGTGGAGGAGAGAAGAGCTGTTGGCTCCTCTCTTCCAGCAGGGTCCAGGCAGGGCCAGCTGGAGCCAGGTCCCTGCAAAGGGGGGTGCTGAACACTCTGTCCTCAAAATCATTTGGGAAAAGCACTTCCAGGGCTGTGCTCAGCACAGCTGTGGTTGGACATCGTGCACCTCCTCACTGAAAAAGTACAGAGCAATGCACTGAGGAAAATCTCCTTTGGGAAAGGAAAAATATTTGGAATCTAAAGTGGAAGATGCTTACCATGAATAACTGTGGCTCCCAGCCTAACTTCCACCAACAGCTGGAATACAGGTAATAGCAATGACTGCAGAGACAGGGCCACCACAACTTCCCACAGGGAGCCAAAAACTTAACCAGCTCCTCAGAGGACAGAATTAACAAATAGCCACCTTTTTCAAGTTTTTACTTTTCTTATAGTGAGTCAGTAATTCTCCCTCATCAGTGACAGGCACTGAACTCATTCTGTTTTGAAAGGAAAAATGCAAAATAACCCAGAAAATTCTCTGTGTTCACTTTCAGACTTCAGGAAGCCATTCAGAACTCTCTGATCACATGTATGTTTCAGTTATTGAGAGCACAGAAGCAAACAAAGTCCCCCAGGCAAGTCTGCTGTGAACTCCTCACCTAAGGTTCTTAAGCACGCCAGGCAGAAGGAAATCCAATTTTCATTAACCTCATTAAGCCAGACACTCTTTTGCCTGCTGAGTGCCCACTTCAGTGAGGCAGGTAAATGTACAGCTTGTTTAAATCCTATTTTTAATCTCTTGTTTCATGTGTTTGTATATGACCAACCCCTCTTCAGTCATTCAGCCACTGTAGCTGTGCACTTGTGCAGAAACCCACGTGGATAAATGTGAGTTAGTGATGAGAGAGAGGTCATTTGCATTCTCAGTGTGACATGCACAGAGTTTCTGTGCAAGAAAGTTGCATGTCATCCTGCTTTGGGTGTTTATAATTCTATTTTTTTTATGAAAGGAAACAGGCAAATATTCAAGGCTAATAGAGGTGCAAAGAACTACCTTTAGCAAATCCAGTCATCACTCCACACTTGTCCTGGACAGTTTGCCTGCTTCTTACCAGCAAGCTGACAGATCATGGAAGAAAGGACAAACTCTGGGAACATTACTCCTACAATTACCTTACTCCAGTCTTTAGGTCAAGGAATGTGTTATGTATCCTGAGATTTCAGTAGGAACTCTTGGATACTCAGGGATTTTTTAATCAACTCACTTATCTACTTGAGAGAATGTACAATTTTAGTTTCTCGTGTATAAGATAGGATGTCGAGGTGTCCTGCAACGTTAAGTGGTTAAAAAAAATACACCCCAGAGCTCTTCAAGTAGCTCTTTCTTGTTGTAAACCATGCTTGACTTCCTGATTTGTTTGAGGAAAAAGCCACTGAGTGTGTAGACGTCTTTTATCCCTCTTAGCCACAATTCCTTTGAGAAATCCAACAGCGAAGGTGGATACAATTATTGTAAATAATGTTGGATAGAACCCAGAGCAGATGAAGGTGGGAGGATACAGCTCAACAAGAACAGAAGTGGTTTCTAATGAGAGAGGGAATATTTCACTCTCAGCATGGCTGTTATTATGTCCTACACATTAATTCAGCCGAGAAGTCTTGAAGTAGCAGAATGAGTTTGTATTCACTGAAGTGGCAGGCACTGGCATGGCTGCCTTCCTTTCTGCTCTTACAGTTAATACTTTCCTGATTTAAACCTTGTTAGTTAAACCTTGTTAGGCATGAGGCACCTCACAAGGTCTCAAAACTTGCAATATTGCAGCCTAGTCCATTCATAGCAGTGCATATTTCACTTCTAGTTTTATTTTGATTATTTTCTGTATTTTTCCTAGAACTGTGGAACATGATTCACCTTCTTGAAAAATAAGACCTAATAATTCTATCAGAGATGTGAATTCTTCTGCTCAGTAACACCCATGTTTCCTAAACCTTCCTCTACAGTTCTCTTGGAAGTGTCCACTTTTTACTTTCCTTTTTACAAGTGAGCAACCAGCACATGAGCTGGTGTAATGGCTTACCTCAAAATCCAGAGGTTTTTCTCCATATTTGTTTAAATCCCTGTACCCTCACTGTGCTTTAATTTTCTAGACATTCCTGACTTCTGCACAGGTGGAGGTAACCAGTCCTTCCAGCCAAAATGTGAACAAGTTCCTTTTCTCCTTTCCCTGCCCATGTCCTGCAGGAGCTGCAGGGCAGGATTATTACGCTCTTTACGAGGATCTCTTTTCACGCTGCTTCCCAGAGCTGGAGCTGACAGAAAAGAGAAGGACAGGAAGTTTGAGGGGATTATTTCCAGGCTGACAGAGGTACCCACGAGTAACATCTTTGCTGGTGCCATTCTAAACCCTTCATCTCCTTTTAAGAACTTTGCATTCCCAAACCTGCTAAAATCCTGAAAGTCTGAAGTGGAATCCTGCTACGGTTAATTTAAGTCAAATACAGCCTGAGTGTTTGGTTCCTTAAAGGACCTAACTATAAATCATATATCCTTGTGACATCTCCCATATCATAGAAGAAGAAAAATGCCCCACACGTCCTCTTTCTGTGTATTTTTCTTGTCACTTGCCTCTCACATCTGCCTCTCCCTGTGCCAGGAGCTTGCTCCTTGTTCCACAGTTGTGCAGCACTCAACACAACAGACCCCAAGCCACAACCTCATTTCTGGGGTGCTACTGCCAGGCTGATAGAGAAATAACTGCAGCCAGCAGTGAAAGCTGCTTTTAGGCAGCACAGTTCTGGAAAGGAGCAAATCCAGGCAAGGGCTGCGTGCCTGCAGCTCGCTCTGACTCCAGCCCAGGCAGTGAAGCTCGGCAGCTCTCATCTTCTCGGAGGATTTATTCTGCAGCGTGTTTGCTTGTGAGGAAGGCAGTGTGTGACTGGGAACCACATCTCCCAGCCACTTCTCCCTGGGTGTTGAGTGAGAGCCTGAGCGCTTGCAGACCGGCCCTTACCTTTCCCAGGCGGGCGCCACAGCGGGAACAAAAACAAAACACGGAGCTGAATTTATCTCTAGCCAGCGGAAATTTCATATTGAGGGTTACAGGCGTCCTGTGCCTCTTAAAAGCAAGTAATAAAATGCTGCTCTCAATTACAAATTGTATTTACATTTTAAACCCCCATATGGTTTGGGGGGGTGGAGGGAGGTTTCGAATGCATTAGCAGCAGCGCTGTGCCATGATTAGTCACAATTTTTTGCTCTTTGTAATGAACAATTACTGCCTCCACCGTTATTTTTTCTCTCTCTCGCCTGTGGCTATGCCAGGTATAGTCAGTAAATAAAACACAACTCCTGCCTCATGTTAGGAACCAAAACAGGCAAATGCATGGAGATGACCATCTCTAAAAGGCCTCCTGGAACAGGATTCACACACTGAGTACAAATTCAATAGAAATCGATTTTTCTTACGTAACTTCCTGGGCTAAACTTTTCAAAGTGTAGGGACGTTTACCAGGGAAATGGAAAACTCATGCAAAGGTGCGCAGATCCATCCTCCTGTGCTAGGAGAGTCAAATCCCTTCTCCCTGCCTTCAAGCACTGCTGAAGACAAAGCACTCCTTGTGTTACATGGTCACAACAGGACCTACTCAAGGGTTTTACCCCCACGTTCTCAGAAATACCAAAAGGCCACAATTAGGTCTCCTTGAAGCCTTCTCCAGCTAGAAAAACCCCAACTCCCTCAGCCTTTCCTCACAGGCGAAGCTTTTCAGCCCTCAGAGCATGTTTGTGGCTGGCCTCCTCCAGCAGGTTCTTCCCTGAGCTGGGAGCCAGGAGCTGGATGCAGTGCTCCAGGTGGGAACGGCAGGATCCCACCTTCACCTGCTGCCCACGCTGCAGGATGAGCCCAGCACTCAGGGCTGCTCCTGATCCCTTCATCCCCAGCTTGGATTGATCCCAGGGCGTACCCTGAAGAGCTGGGAACAGAGATGGAAACAGAGATGGGAATAGAGCTGAGAACAGAGATGGGAACAGAGCTGGGAACAGAGATGAGAACAGAGATGGGAACAGAACTGGGAGCAGAACTGGGAGCAGAGGTGTGCCAGTTTACCACAGAGAACCCACTTTACTTTTATTTACAAATAATACATTTATGACACAAAGGCCATAAATGCTGTTTCATTACTTTTACTGCTTATTTAGATATTTCCCTAGAGGGCTAATACAGCATTACTGTTGTGTTGCTATTTCAGCTTCTGTTTTTACAGAAGTTTAGATTGCAGCTAAACCATTCGGCCCAGCTGGGGCTAGGCTGAGCTCAGAGCTCAGCTTTGGATGAGGAGCACGTTTGGCGTAATTAGATTTGTGGGTTTAGGTGTTTGGGTTTGTTGGCTTTTTTTTTAACTGTATAACTCTGTAATAAAAAGAAATGGCTGTAATTTATAGCCCAGCAGTTGGCAAGTGGATGTCTGGTACAGGATTATTTTTTTATGGCTGAAATTTTAAATTTAGGTGAGAATTTCAAAGAAGCTTAGTACCTACAATTAAGGCAGATGTTCAGTGCTGCCAAGCTCAAGCATTCAAAAATCATGAATCAGGCATAAAAATACCAGTATTAACTCAAAATAAGAAGGCATGGACATAAACTGACACCCACACACCCACACAGACATACAAGTACCTCTGAATAAGTCTAATATTTAATTTTGTATCAAATTCACTCCTAATGAAAATTTATGTTTTCATATAGGATGTAATATTGGTGACATTGAAAAAATCTTTTAAGCAAAAACATTTTGATGTTGGATTAAATATACTTACGGCAATAAAATGAAAAATATTTTTATTTTGATGAGTAAGCATCAGTTTTCAGTGAGAACCTGGGACTAAATTAGTCTCTATGCCACAATATTGCATCCGTTTGGCTCATGACTTTGGGTTCAATTTTTTAGCATTCTGGTATTTGTTTTCCATATGCTTCTTTTCCCCCAAGATTTTCTCTACAATAATGAAAGCTCAAAAATTCCTGTTTTGAGTTCCACACAAGCTAAGATTCTCTAATCATCCAGCTTTGGGAACTCCACACTTTAGAAGAACATTAAGCACGATAAGAATCACAAAAAATATCAGGAAAAATGTGAACAATGTGTGTTGCTTTTCTTTATCAAGAAAGCTTTGCTTTCTTTGCAAGAGTTCAATCCCCAGCATAACAAATACCTGCCCCTAAAGAGAACTTCTAAGACTTTCTGGAAAATATAATTGCTCTTTTAGGTGCCTTTGTAGAGCAAATACTCATCGGATGGTACAGACAAATGCCAACAGAAAGAAAACTGCAGTCAAAACATGTTCTGTGAGTGCACCCACATTGCACTGCACATATGAGTGCACTTAAAGAACATTTACTGCACTCTGGGAATGCAATTCCAAAGGTTTAGGCACTGTGAAAGAGGGAAATGCAGCACTGACCCAGCTTCTTCCAGAGGTATCCCGGAGCAATGGAAGTGTGCTGCTGACTTCCACTGAGCTGGGAGCCTCAGAGTGAGAAAGGGTGAAAAAGGCTCTGCAGGACTTTGAGAGCCTAAAGCAGAAGCCCACTTGCCCGTGTTGTTGTAGGCACAGAAGTGATGCCTTGGTGCTGAAATGCTGAGCAGCAATGGCACATTAACACCATGCTGCTGGAATACATCAGGGCAATTGTGCTCTGGTGCTGTGCTACTGACTGCAGGGCATCGCAGGAGCAGCACTCCAGTAACCCAGTCCCCCTGCTGAGGTGAAAGAAACATCTTAATGGGAGACCCTGATATTTCTGCAGGCCCATCTACATTCCTGCAAATCAACACAGCGATTGCCCTCGCGTGAGGTCACAGGGAGCCCTGTAAAAACATTCAATCACAAAAAAGTCCAAACCCCAAGTCAAAACATAACTCACAGGAGTAGTGAAACCGTACTGGGGTCCCAGCTAACTGCACTGACTGGGGAAACAATCAGGGTGGTGAAAGAAGGGCATTTCAGAGCTCCTCAAGAAAAGCTTTAACAGTGTTCTATATCATGAGTCAAAAACTCAAAAGCCTACAGTGGTCACAGAGCAATTCACTTGGAAGAATTCATGCAAAATGTCATTTGTTCTGGCTACTGGATCTGAAGCTACCAGGGCGTATAACTGTTTATTCAGGTTTTAAAGCAACACTGATCCTCCAGCCAGGCCTGGGAACATTTCAGCAGACCCTGCAACAGAAAGAATTACCTATACAAAAGAGCTGCACAAGATAAACTGAAATAGTTTTTTAAAAAGCATAAGCCTGTCACAGAGATTCTCTTTCCAGTCCCAGTGACAACCTGCTGTTCATATTGATTTTGGGTTAAGTACAGCATCAGCTGGAGATTAAACCTTGCCCCACCGTGGCTCTGACACTACGAGTCCTTCTTTTGTCTCAGTCAAAGCTCAGTCAGTGTAAGGGGGCTACAATGGAAAGTTTGTGCACAGTGAACATGACTACACAGCAGCCACCATGTAGAAACCGAGCTGAGAACGAAACACACAAAAGCCTTGTCCCCTTCCAAAGCTGGTACTATGGGGATCAACCCATATTCACCAGTCCAGCTGGAACTCACATTCAAACAGCCCCTGAAAGCACCAGAAAAGATGTTCAGTGATCTGGCCTTTAAAACTAAAAGCATTTCCATGGGCAAGGTCCTGCTTCCTTCTGCAACAGAAGAAATTTTATTCAGAAGAAGCAACATGATTCAAGCAGGGTCTCAGCAAGCCAGTGACAAGCACTGACAGTGGAACCTCTGTCTTCTACATCCCAGAGACCAAGCTCTTGCTGCTCATTAATATTTTATATCATTTTTACTCATTAGTGTTTTTGTTAAGGTGCTCTGCCAGAGCCTTCCACTTCTTGTATACTCAAGGCAATCTCTTTCAAGCAAACCTGTGATGCTCACAACAATCTTGTGTATTTAACTGGGGTTTCATGGAAAATTTGGGATTTCACTAAAAAGCTGCAGATTATTTACAGTGTTTGTTGTGCATTTGGTTTGCTGATGGTGGTTTTGGTGAAAAAAAATTGAGTGAAACCTGATTAATCAAAACAATCCTGTTTCTGAAAGAAGACTGGATGTTTTCAGATTTCCAGACTAACTCAGAAAGAACCCAAATTTTGTGTCAAAACATGTAAAAATACGACTGTTCAGATTTAAATGTCAAAAATAAATATTGTGTCAGTTTGTGAAGAACTGAGCACAAAGCAGCAGCAAAATGTGAAAATCTTATCATGAAACACATAAATATTACTTCTTACCCAACTACACAGAT